GGTGGTCAGGGAAAACCCAGACTAAGGGAGCCATGTTGGTTTCTTGTTCAACTTTCTAAAGCTACACATGAATGGAATGGTGGAAGCTTTATGGTGGAGAAAATGCACATGAAACCCTATAGAGAGGCAGCTGTTATTTGTAGAATAAATATCGATGACTTTGAGTTGAAAATGACAGCAGCTAGTAGTACATTACCTAACGTCTTCATACTAAGTTATTATTCAAGGGGACATAAAAGGGGACCGGGTGCTCTTCTCCACATATACATGTGTTTATATATACTTCATAGTGCCTCATCTGGTTAAACCCTCAGGACACCCCAAGATAATGCCCCATTTCACAGATGAGGAAACTTTCATCAGAGCAGAGGTGGTTTGTCCACGGTCACATGGTCAGCAAGTGCTGAGGCTGGGATTTGAACCCAGGTCTGCCTGACCTTAACTATGCTCCATCTTTGTGGCCATGTTCATCCCATGGATGAGCCAAAAAAAACATAAAAAATGAGGAAAGACAAAACCAGGATGTTGTAAAATTAACAGCTGTCTGCTGCCCCTGCCCGACATTCCTTGCTCCACAGCCCCTTCCTGCCATCACTCCAACACCCATTTCCATTGTGACATCTTCTCTCTGACTGTGACCCTAATTTCTCCCTCATATAAGGGCTGTTGTCATTACATTGGTCTCAATAGGATAATTCAAATTGATCTCCTGATCTGAGAAATTTTAATTTAATTATGTCTAACAAGTTCCTTTTGCCACAAAAGGTAGCATTCATAGAATCCAAAGATTAGGACATAGATATCTTCTGGTGTGAGGGTGTTATTCATCTCAGTAACAATTGTCATTATCCATCAACTCTCCCCGCTAAAGTAGAATAAAAATCCCAGGACGGATTTATGAGCAATAGAGATGAAAGAAATCTGAGACTTGGGTTCCTGTGATCTGTGGGGTTTGGGGGGAGGGGTTCTTATTCACCGACCTCTAATGTCTAAACGTGACATCACAGTGTGCAGATATTTTTTAAAGCTCCTTTGATTTTGTGACCTATAAGAAAAGAATTACTTCTTAAATATCATCAAAGAGAGGTTGTTAAATAAAAGTCAATGTGTCTTAAATTGTCTAAATTTTCTTACACATCAAGAAGTGGAAAAAATTTAGACCCTCTGAGACTGAAAAATTGTCCACTGGCTTAGGTTGGGTCCACCAGTGGCAAGGAGTCCCCTGCAGGCATTATATTCACAAGGTGCAGGAATCACTAGGAGAGAAGAAAAGAGAGACAGGGAAGAGAAGATGGACAGAAAAAGGCACATCAGCAAGTCAGCCAGCACTGAGGAGGACTGGAGCTCAGGACCATGTGGATACACAGGAAAATTCCTCTGGCTATTCCCCATGAAGTCTGAGGGAGCTAGGGTATGTGCACACCCTCCTGTCATCAATGATTGAGGGCTGTCCCAGAGGATGCCCTTTCTGGGCCTGTGGTCTGCCATGTACACAGACAGAGCTGCCTTCCTCAGCTTCAGAGAGAGCAGTGAGGCACAGACATGGTCTTTAGAAGTCAGCTGTCACCTCTCACGGAGTGACAGAGACACAAAAGATTACTCAATGCGCTGATGTTAAGAGCAATGATAATCCTGAAGGGACTGCACCAAGAAAACTCCATCAAGAGAAGAGAGACCAGTCACAGCCCTGAGTCAGTTTATGCTTCAGCTTTTGTTATAAAGATAAGAAAGTTACAGAAGAAAAACAGATGGTTACTCAATCACAGTGAAAACATAAGCAAACTGGCTACTTGACAAACTTCATTTAAGCATGTATGCCTTAAAATAGTTCAAGCAATTTATGATCAATAGGAGTCATAAAACTAAGCTATGTGATGTACAAAGAAAAACAATGAGATAAACACCGAAGCACATAAATCCCTAAGATATTCAAAGAAACAGCCTAGGCTGAGGTCTAGAACATCCCCCAGGCACTAACTAATCTAACAGAATATTCTTGAAGATCTTAGCTTCCATACTTTCCCATCATTTAGGTTTACCTGAACTAAGGGCTGCTGCCCCCAGAACAATACCCCTTCTGCTTCAATTCTCTTATCTACATCAAAGGCTTTCTGGTCTTTCTCAATCTTAGCATTCCTACATGTTTTTTAAAGGGTTTTGGCTTTGGCCTCCTAAGCTAAGGACTTTGGATCTGTGAAATACAATGTGTTTCATTTCTATCTCATTAGTCACTTCTTAGTCAACATCCTCTGCACTCAGCAGAAGTGTAGTGAAGGGGAATGGCTGAGGGGCCAACAGTGACTCCTACATCTACTCAGAGGAAAGATGTGGACCTTCAACCTGGAGCTCCTATGCGTGTGTGTCTTTCTAGAAGGAGATCCTGGCAGGCTGGCTGCAAGTGAGTTTCCTTGAAATTCAGGCCCTGAGACATGGTGCAGGATGTTTGTGCACAGGCTGCCCCGCAGTGGCTTGGCCACCTGTAGTCATGCATCACTCTTCAGAGTCCCTGGGCTCCAAGACACTGACACTGACTATGTAGTGAGTTTCACTTCCCCTGCTGCTGAACGTGTTTGGGGAAACATAAAACATGCCTATAAGGGGTTCGGTTCTGTCCATGTTTAGTCAAGACCTAAGATACTTCTTGTATACGGAACTGGATTGACAAGAAGTGCTGACTCTCTCTACTGGGGTGGCAAATAGGGAGCCTAGTCTTACTCAGAATAATGTCCCCACTCACCGCTAAAGAGTAAAAGAGAAAAGTGGCATTTATGGTGCACAGAAGAGACATGCACTGAGCAGCAGACACCCTCACATAGGAGAGAAGGCTTAATAAACTCTCCTCTCCCCCAAGGCCTCCCCCATCACCTACCCTTCAGAAAGCCAGGCTCAGGGCAGCTGCACCAGAGCCCCAGGACCATGCTGGTAGGGAGAACAGCTCAAAGCAATACCCAGTGATGTGACCTTGGTTGTCCCACTTGGGAGAGAATTGTTCCTAGGAAGACTAGACTGATCCAGGGTTTCAAGTTTACCCTAATCCTGAGTACTACATTTGAAAGCAGAAAAAGTGATTTTTATTGAAGCCATCAGATGTGGCATTACAAGTCAGCCCAACATACTATTGAATCATGGGGAAAAATATCAAGTTGCAGAACAGAGGTTAGACTATCAGAGACCCCCAAATAAGAATGAAGAGCAGCCTATTTAGGCCTTGGGTATTAAAAAGAGTTATAGCTTTGGAAAATGGTGGATTTTTCTGAGTGACACATGCATTGAGGAAACATGGTATTATCTTTAAGTGTCTGACTAAATTTGGATAATAATGGTTTAGGGCCATTATAAAATGCTTTTAAATACATTTAAGAATGATTGAGATAGATGTTCTTTCTTACCTAAAAATATATATAACAGCACAGAAGTGTTTTAAGTACAGCATAAAGTATCTTTTCTCCACTGGATCAATTTGAGAATAAGTTCAAGAACAGAAAGCCTCACCCTCTTAGACTTTACTAAGTATTCTCTACAAAAAAAAAAAAAAATCTCCTAAGGAAACTCCAAAACACTATAAAATACTTTTTCCTCTCAAGTCCTCGGGTCCATTTCAAACATTGACAATTGTCTCAAAAATATCTTTTGTAATAATATCATCCCCAAGAGAGAAACACCATCTTCTGAGCTGACCTGTTCTGATGGGACATACCTGTAGACACTGGCCTATGGTGTTACTGAAATGAGTCAGCCCTACTGCTGTGCCCAGCCCTTCTCCAGCCCCTGTGATTTGCATGCTCCCGGAGCACAGCCCACTGTCCTGAAGATTTATTCA